CCCCACTCCCGCCACCTCCCCTCCCCCCAGGCCCTCCTGGCGCGCGCGCTGCAGCGCCTGGTGGGGGACCAGCTCGTCACCATCCACCGCCGCAGCGGCGGCGGCGCCGAGTTTGTGGCCCTGGACGGGCAGGCCGGCTACGAGATGGGGCTATTTGACGCGGAGACCGCAGACCACAGGCGGCGCTTCATGGGCGCCGCGGACGGCAGGGGCGCGCGGTTCGGGGCGCGGCGGCGTGCGCAGTGGGCGTGAGGAATGGCGAAGGTTTAGAGCCGCGCCAGGCTGGCCTGGGAGCCACGGTAGCATGAGCTGGGTGTGGTGCACAGGCAGCAGACACCAATGTGCAGGATGGAGTCGCAGCTCTCGGGGTCAGGAACGAGCCTTCGTTCATCGTGCAAGGGCCCTGGGGGTGCACTGCGCATGAGGGTGGCCGCAATCGCAGGATGGCGCGTGCTGTCCTGTCACGCGCACCCGGTAGCCCGGCCCAACACACCATCCAACCCTGGGCGGTGCGCACATCCGCCATTTGCAGATGTTCTGGGTGACAAGCTTGCAACCGCCTGTCTGCATGTCAGTGCCAGCACAACAAACACGACTTTTCTGATGAGCCTTCGTGCCTTTTCAACCTTTTATAATTCAGTAGCAGAGTTACTCTGCAAAGCGTACCCAGGCCGGTGGTTGGGGGCATGCCATTGGGGGTTGAACAGCCGTCTGGATCACTGTTTTGGTGACGGCTGCTCACGCTTTTCCAGCGCGCCAGCCCGGCAGGAAAGTCAGGTAGGGAGAGTGTTTCAACAAAGGAAAGGTGTGCAGCTCTAAGCACAGCAGCCGCCAGGCCCACGTCCCAGTGGGCATGACCGCCGCATGCCACAGCAAGTCACCGCGGATACCGCAGCGGCCGCGCTGCCGACCCGCCCCCGTCCGGCGCCGCCACGCGCTGCCGCCGCGCCCAGGCCGCAAACTTGGCCACCGCCGGGTGCGCCCTCAGCGCCTCCAGCGTGCTGTAGCCCTCCGCCAGCGCCTTGTTGTCCTCTGCGCGGTGCACCGCCGAGTGGCAGGGCCGGCACACCAGCACCCCGGCCGACAGCTGCAGGGCGCTCATGCCACGCCGCGCCTTGTAGCGCTGGTGCAGCTCCCTGGGGTGGCGCCGGCAGTAAAGGCGCCGTGAGGAGTTGGGCGGGCGTATGGGGGTGGGCGTGCTTTGAAGCGGGCACCTTCACATGGCTGAGTGTTGCAAAGTCCTGCACACGCAACTTTCAGCAGCAGCAACAGCAGCGACAGCAGCAGCAGCAGCAGCAGCAGCAGCAGCAGCAGCAGCAGCAGCAGCACCAGCTACTGCTATCTTTCAGCGTTCCCGCCCCACCCCACAGCACCAATGCAGTGGAGTCAAAAGTGCAGCGCCCGCGCGTGCCTGGGTATGAGGTGGTGCAACGTAAGCGGCATGCGCCGCTCGCACAGGGCGCACAGCCCCTCCGCCTCCAAGTCGCCCGCTGCCCGCCGCTGTGCCTCCAGTTCGTCCGCCAGCTCCCCCAGGCGGCGCGCCAGTGCAGAGAAGAAGTCCAACAGGTCGGCGCGGTCCGCGCTGCAGTACATGTCCGCCACCGCCTCGCCCCACCGCTCCTGCATGGCCTCTGGCGGCGCGGATAGCAGGCCCTCGTCCTCAAGCACGTCGGCCGTGATGGTTTCTATCACCATGTCAGGGCCGTACTCGTATGAGGGCAGCGGCAGCGCCTGCGACAGCGAGCGGCGCACTGCCACACGTGCCGCGGCCTCGTCGAGCGCGACTTCTGGCTGCTCGTCGTCGCCGTCACTGCTTGTGGTGCGTGAAGCTAACTCCTGCTGTGCCTTCATGAGTTGTAACTAGCCGCTTCACTGCCGCGATGCTGATAACTTTCAGAGCTAGCAGATCGGATGGGCCAACCGGTGACGGACGTGAATGGTATGTAATTTACCGTACTAGACGTACAGAAACCAGACGTGGTCCTTGCTGCTGCAGGCTTCGTGGCTGCAAAGGCTGATCGGTGACATCATGAGCAGCTTGTTGTGTCAGGGGTGGCGCGGTTTTTTGCCTGTTCAGGGGTCGCAGTGTCTTTGTCATGTATTGGGTTCCTATGCCGTCCTAGGGCACCACTGGAGCGGGCTGCACTGGCTACGACTGCATGCCGGCGCGCCAGCAGGGCGGGCAGCTCTAGCAAGCACGGCCGCAAAACAAATGGAAATCGTGCTGGCTGACCGACGGCCCGTCCGGCAGGTGTCTGCAGGGAGTCGCTGAACACTAAAAATATTGAGCAGCTGTAGCATGAATCTGGTCTGAGCTCGGCATTCCCTCGATATGCGTCCCTCTTCAAATCGTTCTCAAGCAGTTGCACGACACCTGACACTGACCTGTGAGCTGCCAACCGCACATATGCGCATCACGATTGGGCTGCCTGCAAGACAGAGGAGTAGGGCCTCTGCACGCAATTGCAACTGTTGTGGGCAGCTGTCCAGTGGCGGTTGTTACCAGCAAGCAACCACCACTCAGATTGCACGACGAGCAACCTCGCATGAAGCCCTCTGCATCAGCACCTCGGCACAGATTCACCACACCTGACACCAGCACCTGCACCTGCAACAGCAGCAGCAGTGCTGCGAGGGTGGCAGCGGCATTGGCGGCACTGGCGATGGCGCAGCAAAACAGCGCCCGCCAATGTCACCAGGTGACGCCAGGCCAACTTGCTACAGGCGCAAGCATACGTGACCACGGTGGTGCGTATATAGTTGAGCATATGACCGTGATGATCGCGAATACTGAATCATGCCTCTGAGAGATCCAGACGCGATCTGATTATTAGCACCAAGAGTTCATGCTCTGGCCGCTGCATCGCATGGTGATGGCAGCTGGGATGGCAAGCAGGACTTCAGGTGGGGCGCGCGTGCCTAGGCAAGTTTGCGTCTCGCGTGGCCGCCGCCCGCTGCGGGCCACCTTGGCAATCAGTCACACGCCGCACCTTCGCCGCCGCACCTTCCGCGGCTGCGATACAAAGCAGGGCTCTTCCTTGGTGTTGCCGGCAAAGGATGTGCCGGTAGTGCCTCGGTGCACCTGCCGAGGCGCGTGGGCGGGTTCGTGCTGCCTCGGGCCTGCAGCCCAGCCCGCTCGCCCTGGCTGGCGGCCGCACACCGAGCGCTCTTGGTGCCGGCTCGGGCGTTACCACGAGCGGCGACGCGGTCGCTGCGCTCTGTCGCCGCCGCGCCGTCGTCTGCGCGGCGGCGGGTCGCGGTGCAGGCGTCGCGGGGGCCGTCCAAGGCGGCCCTGAAGCAGCAGCAGCTTGAGGAGGAGGAGGGCTTCAGGCTGGACGAGGAGAGCGTGGCCTACTGGCGGGACCAGATCGCAGCGGTGGCAAAGTGAGCGCACGCAGCACGTGGGGGCCTCATCAGGCCAGTGCCGCACGCCGGAGGGCCCGCCGCCCTGCGTGCACGGCGGAGGCTTGGGTTGGTGCGCCCGCTGCCGCGGCACACCTGAAACCGATGTCGCACCCTCGGACGCAACTGCCCGCCCGCAGCTGGCGCAGCGCCGCCCTCGCGCTCAACCTACTGTCAAGCACCCTGTTACGCCTATGCCGCTCCGCCTTTTTGCCCCCACCCCCTCGCCCCCACCCAAAACACACACCACCACCACC